TGACCGTCAGGGACTTTCATTCACCGTCTATCGTGGTCAGGGGCTGTCTCAAACGGATTTTGAAAAACTACTACAGACGAAAGGTGGTATAATGTCATTCAACAACTTCTGCTCCACTAGTACAGATTGTCATAATACATACTTTAGCACTAACATGAGCAATAATTAAAGGAAAAGATAATAAATATCATGTTTGACTGGATAGTTTTCGTCCTCGACATCAGTCAGGTATATAGTTAGTATTGATAGGCGGATGACTCATCGTTTTACAGTCTATCTTATTCTAGCATCCTCTAGGTATTTTGTTGCGTTCGTCAGCCTCGAAAGTTTATAAGCATATTTGTCTCAAATCTGATAGTTTAGTAAAAGAATCTAGAGACTAAACTGAATTGAGTGTTTTGTACAAGTTATGGTAGCAGAATGTCTTAAAGTAAACCAGAATGGCTGACAGACGAATAAGCGTACAGCGTTGGAGCTGAGCGTTGAGTTCACGAAACTAAATTTAAAATACGCGTTCTCCTCATCTCAGACCGTACATTCTTAGAAAAAAGTATACGCTTTGAGTTTTGAAGGAGTTTAAAGAGCAAGAATAATATTTCATGATGTTTTTTGAATTGTTTTTTTTTATTATTAAGCAAAAAGCAAAAAAAAAGGACGAAAATTATCATCACAGCATGATCACCAATATTCACTTTTGCACATTTGAAATTTGAATGAATTTCATTAACATTGTTAATGGCACATTTATAGCAGTAGTATAGAAATAACATTTGTTTTCAAGTTACCATTGTTGATACAAAACGGTTGTCAACCTGGTTGTACTTGGTCTTCGTTTTATGGGTCTTCCGAGGCAACATGAATCTGTAGTAGAAAGGAAAAGAAACGACCTTTTGCAAAAAAAAGCACTAATTATCACCCCAGAGAAGCACGTACGTTTTCTGCTGCTAAGGCTCTTTGCATTTTCTTTTGGCTTTCCAGTATTGACTTCAATATTTGCTCCACACTTGATTGCGATACACGAATTTGGTTCAGTTCTTCAGCTATTTTATCATTACTTGCCAATGTTCTTTTTAGTAAAGATAAAAGGTGTTTGTTATTTGCTTCTTCTTCTTTTGAATCGTCGTCACTAAAATTCAGTTCACGTGAGCATAAGCGTTCAGGAATTGGCGTTATAAATGATGATTCATCTTTGAGTGGCTTCGGCGTTGTTATGGCTTTTTGTTTGGGTTTCTTGACTATTGTGTCGAACTGCACCAGCTCATCGTCTTCATTGTCATAACTAGAATGACTTCGTTTTCTGTAACTGGAAATTATTGTTGATTTATTCAATGATTTGTATGTATCTGAAGTTTGCATTTGAAGTATTGCATCGAAAAAGGGACTATTGGGAGGAATAAATTCTTTTGGAATTTTAAGAATTTTTTGATAAAATAACAATGCTTTACGGTAGTCACCCATAGCCATATACGCTATACCAATGCAGAAGTAGGAATTAACTAAATCGGGATAGTTTAGAGGAAGAGATTTTTCGCGGATTTCTATTGCCTTTTCATAAAACGAAACTGCTTTTAAGTGCGCGTCCATCCGGCTATATACCAAACCCATGTTATTATACGAAGTAGCCAATTCAGGATGGAGTGGAGTGAGAAATTTGCGGATTTCGATGGCTTTATTGCATAATGAAACCGCTTCTAAGTATTCGCCCATTTCCTTATATGTCAGACTCATGTTATTATATAAAGTAGCTAAGTCAAGATGAATGGGGGGCAAAGTTTTCTCGAAAATGGCCCTTGCTTTTTCGTAAAACGTAAGCGCACTCAAGTTTTCGCCCATATCTGAGTAGACCATAGCTAAGTTGTTGTAACAAATAGCCAGCTGGTGATGATTCGGAGCAAGAGTTTTTTCCCAGATATTACGTGCCTTTTCATAAAACTCAAATGCTGTCTGATACTCTCCGCTTTTATGATGTACTATACCAATATTCTGGTACGAACATGCCAACGCCGGATGAGTAGGTGAAAGAGCTTTTTTGAGGATTTCAAGCGCTTTTTTGAAGAATGACAGTGCTTTCGAGTCTTCATCCAGATTTTTGTACACCTCACCCATGGTGTTGTACAAACTAGCCAAGTTGGCGTCGTTGAGATCGCAAGATTTTTCTTGAAGTATAAGCGCTCTCTTAGAGAATGAGAGCGCCTCCAACTACTCGCCCATCTTGGAAAGTACTAAGGCAATGCTACTGTAGCAGATAGCTACAATACCACATTTCACAGGAAGAGATTTTTCTGTGATTTGACGTGCTTTTTGATAAAGCTTAATAGCGTTCTCGTAGTCACCTTGTTGGTCTTTGACATGTCCAAGCTGAATATAGAAGATAGCGCTCTCATTATCTTCGGATTTCTGACCGTTGAGCAGCGCTCGATACGTTTCGTCGGCCGTCTTACACTCACCCATCTTAACTAGTAACGCAGCCAGTCGATGCCATCCGGTTGAGCCCCAAGTGGCCGCTCGCATATCTGCAGTGAGAGCACTGAGCTGAGGATCCTTGTCACTTGTAAGAGTGAGCTTCACGTGCCACAACCGATTGTTTTTGTTGATTGGTTCGATCTCACCGATGCGGAAAATGGTGTGCATCGAGAAGAGAATTTCCTGTTCTTTCCCGAAGTGACTGACTGTCGAGATATTGGCAAAAGGAACCGATGAGATCGATTGGTCGATTGATATTGAGAAGAGAATTCCTATTAAATTAGTACTGCACTGAGCGCTGTCAGCAAAGGCAAAGGAGACGTCGCGATCTGTACTAGTGGAGCAGAAGTTGTTGAATGACATTATACCACCTTTCGTCTGTAGTAGTTTTTCAAAATCCGTTTGAGACAGCCCCTGACCACGATAGACGGTGAATGAAAGTCCCTGACGGTCA